ATGTCAAGTAAGTTTGACCCACATATTTTAGAATCTATTCACACCAAAACAAATATGTTTGGCTTTTGCTCTAACATTAATTAAATTTATGATTCAGTGAATGACAGTAACTATAACGATTCTAAGATAAGAAAACTCCTTATTAGGTAAATTTCGACCTACACGAAGATGTAACGATTAGACTTTGTCTAGAACTGGGATTCATTCAAATAGATATGTTTGTGAATTTGATTTTAGGTTTTTGCAGAGCGAAGGTCTCTTTGCATGGGAGTTTTCTATAAATTTGAGCATACTATTAATTAATTTACTTTTTAACCCTTAAAAGAAGTAGTGTAGTATATTTGACGGGAGTGAATCATTAATGATGATAAGGGAAGAGAGAGAAAAAGTATTGAAATAGTTAGTTATAAAATTATAACTGTTGATTCACCTCTATATGATTAGGATTCTTCCATATGATGTGATCATGTTAAATAAAACATATGAGATAATTCGTTTTCATATTTGATACCTTTTGTAGTAGTCATATGATCGGAATCAAGGAGATTTTTATATCTCGATGGATGAGAAATTCAAATATATTATCAAATCATTTATTAAGCTCTTTTAGAGAACTAATCCGTGTGTGTTATCTGTTTTTTAGTTTTAATGTTAAATAATCGTTTTAGGGCGCATACGTATCTTGATCTATCGTATTATTATTGTTGTGATTTTGTTAATTGATCGTTGTGCTTTGTTTAAAGTACAGTGCCACCTTTTTATCTATTCAAATCGAATCGGATTAGTTGCGAAGCAATGAACCAAATGGAATATTTCCAAAAAAAGAACAGTGCAACCTTTTTATCTATTCAAATAGAATTTGGGACACTAAATTAAGTTTTATAAATTTTATATGAATAATTGACAGGTTTTATTATAGTTATTTTTATGCCTTTCTCTTGTAACATCAAAAAAGAAAAACGTGAAAAAAAGGATATGTTTTTCGGCTTTTTGACCCTTTTTAATCGATTAAGTTGAAGATTTAATCGATTAAAAGGTCAAAACTGACAAAAATGGTTGACTTGAAGATTTAATCGATTAACTCTTCAACTTAATTGATTAAATCTCCAAAAAGTTAGCAAGTGTTGTCTTGTCACTTGAGATAGGAACGAAAGATTTTTTTTTCTCCCCTCCAATTTTTATCATGCTTTCAGACAGGAGTTTATGGATTAGCTTTAATTTTATAATTCCATTTAATGTTGTCTTGTCATTGCATTTAGCATTAGCAAGTGTGTTGACTTTGCAAGCTTGCCCCTAATCAATTGGCAATTGCAGCATCCAAGAGTTAATAGTTAAAAAGGTTAAAAAAAGAAAAGAAAAGGCGTGTGCTGCGTATTTTCCTTCACAAATTTGCCTTCACCAAGTAATAAAAGCAAGTGGGGCCTTTGTTTTCGGACTATATCTATATTGACAATCCAACATAATCAAATGATTGAAACCATAAAGCAAAGCTTATTTATCTACTTTTCGTTTCTTTTTGGAGATTTAATCGATTAAATTGAAGATTTAATCGATTAAATCTTCAAGTCAACCATTTTTGTCAGTTTTGACCATTTAATCGATTAAATCTTCAACTTAATCGATTAAAGAGGGACAGATTAATAGATAGTTTTGAATGAGGGGTAAAATGGTTATTAATTAATTAATTAAGGGTAAAAGGGTCAAAAAGCCTAATTTTTCTCATAGGGTACACAGTTTTAATATGTATATATAATCTTTTAAATTTTTTAAATTTTTTATGCAAACAAGACTGCAGTGATATCACGATTTAAACGAAGTAATATTTTTTATAATGCTTATTATGTCTGAAATATATATATATATATATAATTTTTTTTATAACAATTTTTTTTTTTTTTAAGTTTTAAGAAGGATCTCTAAGGATTTAGGGAAAATATTACATATCATTCATCAACATATAGGGTTTTCGCAAGCTTGCGCTGATAAACCACACAAGGAAAATATATATTATAAAAAAGCAAGTTGGTCTTAAATAACCAAACTTACCAAATGTTCAACCAAAGATAAATCAACAGCAATATACCCCACAGTAATTGGAGTAAATAGAGAACCACAAACTTAAACTTACGAAATAGTACCAACTATAACATATTAAGAGACCATCACCAAGACTACACTCCATATACTGGAGTGAACAACAACAAGAAGAAGATAACAATGTCTAGGAAAGAAAAGTTGAAAATTCCAGCAGTTTAGAACATCCACTTTTCTTCACAGCAACAAGGCTTCACATATACTGAGCATGAACTCGAACCCTGTTGCGCAGCCACCAATCCTTGGCTGCATCTGCATCAGAAATTTCCCGGCTACAGACAGAGTTAACAAAGAGTCAAATCAAAACCCACTAATCTTCTAAATAAATTTTTAAATGAAATTTGGCAACATGTTACATGCAATCTAGGATTTTACCATTTCCTAATTTCACCAAAGAACATGCTCCTACGACCATCTAATTGTGAAGGAAAAAACAATAAGGAACATGTTTTTGATATGCATTTTATATTACCTGAATTTGATACTGCGAATTTTCCTGGTCCCATTAGCTGACCTCTTCACAGTGATTGACACTCCAGGATCATCCTGCTCAACCCATTCAGCATCCATGTCATTGTCAGTAGGGTTGTTAGCCCTTGATATCCCACCATGGAAATACCCCATATTCCCAGCAGGTGCATGGAAATTCCCCGGAGTCGAATCCATGTTCAGCATTGAAGCCATTAGGATATCTTGTTCAGATTCCCCGAGTTCTGTTCAAAGGCAATAGTAATGTACATGAATGAATCTCGAGAATCCAATAGAGAGCTCTTATTTATGTCAACCTCTTCTCACGATATAGTGATAAAAATGAATTGAAGTATCATGAAAAATAACAAGGTAGATGAAATAGAGTCTTAACTCTTAACAACATCATATGTGTGTAAAAGTTTTAGATTACCTCATTATCATCAGACCTTGCAGGAGTGATGAAAACACGTTGATTTAAAGTCTGTATATTAAGAAGCTCCATGATCATGTCGCAATTCTCAGCCCACCACCTCTGGGCTCGCGACTTATCAAACATGTCTCGACTTCAAATTTAAATGCCAAGTATTGTAAGTCTTTATTACTATATGATAATTAAATTTTTTTTTCAACAACTAAAATTCTCATATATATATATATATATATATATATATATAGATATATATATATATATGAAGGTTTCTAATGTACTACATATATTTTCAAAACTTGGGACATATTATACATACACGAAGCGAATCCTTTTGAGATCATTGCCCCCAGTAGGAAGAGACACAACGGTGATGTGTACACCTGGCTCCATCTGTGCTATCCACTCGTTGTATCCAGTCATGTCCACCAACGCTACACTACCAGCTGGTGGTTGAGGTTGACGCCCTCCAGGGATGGTGTTACCAATTGGTGATTGATTGGGGTTTGTGTAGTCCAAAGCAGGGGTTGAACTTGCGCTTCCACCACCAATGTAGCCGTGTGGAACCCGCCTTCAGAAACGGTGTCATACTTGATGCTCTCGGAGGTGCCACCTTTGATTTTCTTCCCTGAAAGCTTCAGCGCCAGATCCTTAATCTGCATATGCAAAATAAAAATTCAAATTAGCATCAATGCATTTAAAAGTTTTAATCATGTACGATACAATTAATACATACCATGGAGTCTTAAGGTTTCAGGCTTGGGTCATTTTCAAAGCATCATGCAATACCTTTAAAGCTGGGCTAGTGGAGAATGTACTTGGTAGAGAATACATGCAAGTGGATGACAACAACATCCTTGAACGTGAAAGTCTATATATGTATATATCCTACTATCAACTATGTACCCCCAATGGAAAGAATTTTCTATTTGTAGAAATCTCCAGTAATATCTATCCAAATATTACTTGTCCAATTTTTTACACAATTTAGAAACATTTGGTTCGAAATAGTTAGGAGAGGCATCATAAGGAAGAAGGAAGAGCATGAAGAAGAAGGTAAACTAATAAGCAAATATAAAAGAAGCAAAATAAAGAGGGTCGTGGATAATGGAATAATGGTGTAAAAATAAATAGTTGCTTATAAATATAAACCTACTTCTGCCATAAATGCAATCTATACCTGGCCACACCAACTATATACTTTCCTGCCATACTAAATCATATAATTTGCATCGACACACAATAGAAAACTTTTGAAAAACAGGATAATGATGGTAAGTGAATAATCTCATGTGCAATTATAAGTGGCTAAAAAGAGAAGAGTCGTAAGAACCCACTTGAAAAGTTGGTTCCCTAATTTATAACTATAAAAAGAACAAAGGGATTAGGACTGACTTGATTGGTTGATCATGATGGTCACTTCAGGTCAGAACCACAGAACCACCTCATGCATATAAATAAACCAATAAATGAACCAGTCCAATCTGTGAGAGGAAGTGGACCATCCTTGTACACAAAAAAGTGGACAAAACACAACACACACAGAGTTACGTCATCCTAAACCAAAACAATCCCCGCCTAGATAACAAGGCATCCGTATGATGTATATTTTATATAAAAAAACATCATATGAGTGTGTGTATGTAGGCTATATGTAGGTCTACGTGTGTGTGTAAAAGTTGTAGATTACCTCATCATCATCAGACCTTGCAGGATGGTTGAAAACATGTTGATTTAAATTCTGGATATTATGAAGCTCCCTGATCTTGTCGTAATTCTCAGCCCACAACCTCTGGGCTCGCGGCTTATCAAACATGTCTCGGCTTCAAATTTAAATGCCAAGTATTATAAGTCTTTTTTTTTTGAATAACAAGTATTGTAAGTCTTTATTACTACATGATAATTAGTTTTTTTTTTCAATAACTAAAATTCTCTCATATATATATATATATATATATATATATATATATATATATATATATATTTGAAGGTCTCTAAGGTACTACATATATTTTCAAAACTTGGGACATATTATACATACCTGAAGCGAATGCCTTTGAGATCATTGCCCCCAGTAGGAAGAGACACAACGGTGATGTGAGCACCTGGCTCCATCTTTACTATCCACTTGTTGGATCCAGTCATGTCCACCATCGCTACACTACCAGCTGGTGGTTGAGGTTGACGCCCTCCAGGGGTGATGTTACCATTTGGGGATTGATTGGGGTTTGTGTAGTCCAAAGCAGGGGTTGAACTTGCGCTTCCACCAGCAATGTAGCCGTATGGAACCTCTTCAGAAACGGTGTCATACTTGATGCTCTTGGGGTTGCCAGCTTTGATTTTCTTCCCTGAAAGCTTCAGCGCCAGATCCTTAATCTGCATATGCAGAATAAAAATTCAAATTAGCATCAATGCATTTAAAAGTCTTAATCATGTACCATACAATTAATACATACCATGGAGTCTTAAGGTTTTAGGCTTAGGTCATTTTCAAAGCATCATACAATACCTTTACAGCTGGGCTAGTGGAGAATGTACTTGGTAGAGAATACATGCAAGTGGATGACAACAACATCCTTGAACGTGAAAGTCTATATATGTATATATTCTACTATCAACTATGTACCCCCAATGGAAAGCATTTTCTATTTGTAGAAATCTCCAGTAATTTCTATCCAAATATTACTTGTCCAATTTTTCACACAATTTAGAAACATTTGGTTCGAAATAGTTAGGAGAGGCACCGTAAGGAAGAAAGAAGAGCATGAAGAATGTAACAGCCCGTTGTACACCGGTATTGTTAACATTAATTATGATATTAAGCGCAGTTACAATCACAGCAGTTCATTTATAAAAATGCGAATAAACTTTTTTCGATTATTACGCGAGCATTTAAAACATAAAAAGGCGTAATAATTAAAAGCTGTGACCGTAACCGTAAACTCGTGCGGAAGACTTATTTAAACTATTTTTATAACTCACATTACTTATTATAAGTTACTAAGGAGTTTCCATAAACTCACTTAGCCAATTTCCAAACTTTACGTTTTTATCAATTCGGACATGTTTCACTCTAAATTTTTCTGCAACCAAACCGATCGCAACCAAACTTTCTTCTCAGATTACATCTTTGTCTGACTTAATTCCCTTTGTAACAAGCTATCATAAGCTCAATTCGGAGCTCATTAGATCCCGTTATCGCCATTTGAAGTTGGATCAGCGAATAGCCAAACAACCCCAAAAACAGCTCCAAACCACTCACCTTCCTCGAATTACTTCACTCAATCCATTCAACCATTTGCTCTCAAATTTTATCCTACAAACTAGATATCTCAAACTTCATTTTGATATATCACACGCTTAATTTGACTGAGAAACGAAGTGGGAATTAATTTCCCAAAACCGGTCCAGAATCTGCCTCGGGTGCAGGGCACATGAGCAGTCCGTGTTTCTCTATTTTTTCAGGCCGAAGATCAATCCAGAATTTCCTCAAATTTTTACACAAGGTAGAGGACATCTTAACCTTAAAAATGGCATATGGAACGTCCCTATTGGACCTCTATGGAGGGAGATATTCTCTCCCGAAGTTCGCCTAAAATCTGCCAATTCTACAGAAAATTCACCAGAGTTTCCTTTGTTTTTCCAATAATCCCAAATTTGTAAAAATCATTTAAACCTCAAATGTACCTAATAATCACATGATAATACAGTAATAATCCAATGGGTGGCACACACAAGGACCAACAACGCCTTGGGGCACTTACAACCCAATCCAGTTTATAGTCATTAGGTATATAGTTCATATTAATCATTCTTAGGTAGTTGCAATCACTAACACCTTTTTCATGCATATTTTCATCATACATGTAATCATACCCTAAAATAGGCCTAAGGCCCTTCCATCATAAATAGTCATGCATCAAATATGATTACAATATTGCTTTACACTTTACAAATTGAAACATAAACTTCAACTTACATTCTTCCAATATTACAACTTAAATTCAAATGACAACATAACCAAATACATAACTACTAGACTTAGGCAAAATGGCATGAACAAATATGCTAATGAAGCATACAACATACATATGAGATGTTCATGCCCTAAGTCTAGCCTAGGCCACACGGCCAACAAAATGCAGAATATGAAGCACTCCTCTGCTCACTATGCGGGCCTCTTGCCCGCTGCTCCTGCTCCACTGCTACCTCCTGAAATAAATGCCCCGAGAAGGGGTGAGATATACGAATATATCTCAGTAACCAAGAGATTCTGGAGAAAACTCCACCCAATGGTTCACTTCGATGCATATCAATAGAATAAAACAACCACTTTGAAAACGAGATATAGCAAGGGATTTAGAGAAATGGGGAATATAAAGAAACAAACTACGACGATACGGGATGGTAACCCCAATTCCACGTACGCCCTGGGCATATATAAGCCTATGGGTATCATCCAAGGTGTGTTCACAGAAACCACAACCATGATGCCCAAACCAACCAAAACGCCAAAGACATTCCTAGTGTGCTCCTACCCGGATCACACACCATGACACGCAGTCAACTGGAACTCCCTCCTGGAGACCTATCCAGCGGAAGTCCGAAAATGCCCGAAGGCTAATAAAACTGTCTACTGGCCAGAGACTCGGTACTGCAGTACCCATAGCAATAATGCATGCATGCTCATGTGTTCTATACTATTCATACACACTTCCTACCGTTGCCATCAACTGGCAAGGTGGAATAGAAAAGGGGAACAAGCCCCAGTACCAAGAGGTTACCTTAAGTAATTTCCTCACTAGCTCCGCAGCAGCTTATCCCACAACTTGGTACACAGCGGAATGCCTACACAGAAGACATTCCCAATCTCTTATAATTCAAACAATACATGTTAATTTACAATTATACATGCCTTGAACTAAATACATACCTCAATCCTCTTGGTCCAAGACCAAGGGTAACTCCCAGATTCACGTTTCGGGATTCAAGTCAACGTACGGCAACCTATACAATTACGTACATCCATCAGTACGCGTCAAATAACATCAAAACGCAAAATCACAAAAATCCTCCCCATCCTCCCTTGATGGTTCGGCCATTGAAGTGTAATTTTTGAGATTTATTTTTCTAAATTTTGTTTCTCATTTTGTTACATCTCATTAGGTTGTCAATAGGCCAATTCAAGTGCCGGTTCGTCATTTTCGCGTCGGATTACATCAGAACGCGAAAACCACAAAATTCCTCCTTTTTCCCTTGGAGGTTCGGCCATATAGGTGTTAATTGGGGATTTATTTTTCTAAATTTTCTTTCTCATTTTATAACACTCCCTTAGGTTGTTTAGAGGCTAGTGCAATCGTCGTTTTTCCGTTTTACGACATTTACGCATCGTTTTGCGAAATATTTCACTTTGGGCTCATTTAGGTATCTAAACACAATTCACTTTTCCCATTGATTCAAACACTTGCCAATCACAACACAACCCATCTAAGCACTATATAACTACACAAATCATCATCCAATTCATTTTTCAACATCAATTCCTCAATTTTTCCTCAAAGGTTCGAATTTTACCCTAAGGCATTCCAAAGGATTTCTTTCCATTTTCAACCATTCCTCAACTCAACCAATCACATCATATCATCATTCTATCATACAACAACTCATTATCAACATCACAACACATTTTTCCAAAATTCCATGTCATGACCATCAAATTATTCTAAGTTAAAAAACATCACATTTCACCTAAAATTTTCATTGCGTTTCTAGCTTTAATACATCATTCTAAGGCATTATCATCTAATAGACATTTTCCATTTGAACTCTCTAACACAACACATCATAAAATCCCTCTTTTAGGGTTCATAAACATAAATCACAAATCAACCATTGAAATGTTGAAATAACTCACCCAAATGCAAGGTAAATGACTCCTCCTAAGTATACTCCACCATTGGAGCATTTGAAAACTCCATGAACACCCAAACTTCAATGTGAGTCGCGGCCTTTGAGGGGGAAGATCTCAAAATCCTCTCACTTTCACGGCTCAACAAGGCCACCAATGGCTTTGGAAGACAATTTCCAACAAATTTCAAGTTAAACTTTGTTGGATTTGGTTAGGATTTGAGTGATTAAAGTGGAGAAGAAAATTTTTGCATGGAGAGGGGTGGGGAAGGCTGATGGCTCGGGTTTGGGAGAGAGAGGAGAGTGGGAAGATGATGAATAGTGATAGGATGAGGTGGACATAAGTGATTTTAAGTGGGGTGGGTCCCACACCACCTCACGCGATTCAAAACGCGTCAAAACTCTCACTAAACGTCCGTAAATTCAAAGCCTATTTAGAAACTCTAATTTTTAACATTAACTATTCTCCTTTAATTATGCTTGATCAGATGAATCCAGAGTCCTCCATTCGTTCGGAGAAAGCACTGTTTTAAGCTATTGCGCGCGCCGTTGGCACGTTTCCCCAAAATGACTTACTTTCATCAAATTTTATCAACAATCATATTTCCTAACTCATTACACCATTTGTAACTCATATTTGAAACCTAGAGCTCAAAATTCAACTGGCACGTTTTACGGTGCAATCGTAACGCGGTATTTTTACCCGCGAAAAATACTATTCACTGATTTTTCTGAAACTTGCTTATCCATTCAATTTTTCGTTCTGAACCCATTTCCAGGGTTATTTTTACCATATGAGACCTTCTACTCAATTTTTATCTGCCTAGGGTTGCGTGTTGGCTAATTACTGTTTTGCCCTTTCTTTGTATTTTGGCCTAATCTTTAGGATTTTCACTAATCCATCACTTGATTACACACTTAATGGCTTAAATACTTAATTTAAAATTGTGAGGTGTTATAAGAAACGATAAGCCATATATATATATATATATTTGATTACCTCCATATTTGAACATTACTCCATGTTTGATTTTTGTTTCATTATTTCCTTTAGAGTATCTCCGCATCAAATGATGACCACAAAAAAAAAAACATACAAGATGGGCATGAGCACTTCTGAAGTAAAATTGCATCTTTATATTTCTCTTCCCCAATTTTCTGAATTACTTTAAGGTAATGGTGCAAACCTAGAGAGAGACTGAAAGAGAATGTGAGAGAGAAAAATAGGATTATAAGAGATAATTATGAACCGTTAAATTTAATTCTATTCTAACGGTGATGAAATTAGTTGTAAATGTGGTAAACTTACCTGATGGTAAATATAACCCTCCCTTTATTTGTGATGTTTATTATGTCTGAAATATATTTTTTAAGTTTTAAGAAGAATTTCTAAGGATTTAGGCAAAAGATTACATATTATTCATCAATAAAGTCCTCACATCAATCCTCTTTTCAAGATTTTTGAAAGTGATTATATATTACTCATCAACAAAGTCCTCACATTAGGGTTTGAACCAACGTTCTCCCAGGGTATGGATCAAAGCTTTAGCGAAATGTGCCCACGCGAAGAAAATAAATCTTTTTGTTTCTAAAAAAATGAACATTGCAGATATTGTAAGACCAGAAAAAGGACACGTAGTAGGAGATGCCTATATTCATGAGGTCCAT